AGATATTCCTAATTATAATCTTTTTACTATGTCAAAAGTAGATAGTTCCAAATATCATACATTTTTCTCTCAGTGTAAAGTTCAAGGTGGCGGATCAATATGTCGGCTAGAAAATTTGAAATTTTGACTTATTTAAGTGAAAATCCGTATAGGGAGAGAGGGTTTGAAGTTCGCTGAGTATGAATATGCACTTATTTTTTTTAAATTCGTAATGGCGGATCCAATATAGCCACCCAAAAATGCGAAAATTTGACATGGTTTTGTTATTTGGCGAAAAATCCAACCAAATTATAAGCTACCTTTCGAAGGTGTTTGTTTTGGGGCAAAACATCATACTTTAGCAGACTATAAAAGAAAAATGGTTTTTTTACTTTAAAAATCAATATGGCAGCTAAAAATTTTTTATTTTGATTTATTTCAATGAAAGTACGTTTTGAAAAATTTTGAAAAAATAAGTACATATTCATACTCAGCGAACTCCAAACCCCCCCTATACGGATTTTTCCTCAAATAGGTCAAAATTTAAAATTTTCGGGCCGACATATTGGTCCGTCACCTTGAATTTTGAAATCCAACACAAATTTTTTTTTCACTTTTTAACAAATTTCGACGTTTTGCCCTAATTTAGATGGTTTTTTGAAAGCCTATCCTTAGCGGTTTTCTCTTGGGCCTTAATGGGTTAATCGAAGGGACGCGCATATCTTATCGAGTCATCGATTGTTCGAGATACCGACCGTGCGAGGCCTCCACTTGCGCCACTTGTACACAAATGATTTTAATTATCAGAAGTAACGCGAAAACGAACGAGCTTCACATGGCGAACCGAAAGAGCGCGCGAAGAAGCGCGATACGTTGTCGTTCGAAGTCATCGCGATGACTTCACACGATAGATAAATAAGTTGACATTCAAATCGTCGCGCTGATTTCGCGACGCGTGATGCGTGACAAATAAATCTCCCGATAATTCGCAAGTCTCAAGTTCCACCGCGAGAACACTCGAGTGCACTCCAATGAAGCCTCAGTCCCGATTCACAACACGGTGGAAAAAAAAATTTAAGAAATAAAAAATATTTATATTCGATTAGCATATCTACTTATACCAATGTAAAATATTTTTCAAATAAGAAAATATATATTTTCTTAAAATCTGAGACTTCACATAAAACAATACTTATAAAAAAATAATTCAGCAACAATAAAGATCCGTTGCGTAAAAAAGAAGCTATTGCTAAGACGAAACTGTTGTTACTCGTACTGAAAATTAAGAAGTAGAAGCGAAGCTATTTGCCAGAGCAGTGAATCTTCTCGACAAGGTCTTTTTTTATCAGAAGCATGTTAAAGAGCTGAGCTCCGAAATGAGCTGGAATAATTTGATGAAATCCAGAACAAAGCAACGCTGTTGCGGACAGCGTGCGAAGAAATTCACAAAATCGGGAGTGTCGCCTTATTACCGACTTGTGAAACGGTTTACATTAACGTTCGAGGCTTCATTGGAGAGTTCAGCCCGCGTCCAAACCTGAAAATCGGTGACGACCCGCGGTCGAGCGGCAGGATCGGAGGTCCTACTCTCGATCTCGTTCACGTACATCTGCATCCTGTTCATCCCGTGGCTGAAGTGGCCTCTGTAATCCGCTGTCATCAGATGATGCGCGACCACGTGCGCGTCCTCCGGCGTCGCGCCCACCTTGCACATGCATTCTTCGATGAACCTGACGACCTCGTGCTTGGGCGCGACCTTCCGATCGTAGCATGCGACGGACGCCATTCTGACAGCGGCGGTGCGAGTGCGTGACGTGCTTCTCACGAAAAGTTCGTGCAGCCGACTGAGCGACGCCTTGTGCACGACGAGCAACATGTCCCAGATTCTATTTATCTGACGAACCAGCCAATCGACTCGTAGTACGTATACTTTATCATTCCTCGCGACCTTATCGTTTCAGCAATTGACTCGCTGTACAAAAATGAACTGGAACGTCAACCGAATCTCTGGTCTAGTCGCAATCCGTCGACTTTGGGTTATCGTTGTTTATCAGTCGCGTACGCCGCCGGCGAAGCGAAGGTCAGATTCAACAGTCGGCTTCGTTTTCGTGCGAATCCACCTCTCGAGGAGTTTCGACCTTCCACTTTTCGATTGATCTTGATGTGAAACGTTGATTCTACACGTCAGCTGATACGGAGAAATTATATGTGACACTATTTTCGCGCTTACGTAAGAGAAGGAATCCCTTCTCTCGCTTTCCTTTCTATCGGCAGGTCTATTTTCAGCTGGATCTGGAGAGTTCCTCGTTTGAACTTAGCGCCGTCTGTGCGTCGATGGAGTCAAGCAGCTGACTGAGACGTTAGGCGGTGTGTAGCAAGCTTGAGATCCCATTAGCGTTATTCGAGCACGATCGCCGATCACCGCTTCACGGGGGGATTCATTCACCTTCGCGCGCACAATTTTAGCCTCGCGAAACGGAACGGACAAAAGCGCGCGGAAAATGATGCCTCGCGATTCTGCGCGCTCGCTTTCGCAAATGTAACGTCCAGCGACCACGACGACGATGTACCACGTGTCGCGCTCGCACGGTTGGCATTGACGTCGCCTCATGAGACCCTGAAGGCTCGCCTACAATACGCACAGCAGGCTTGACGTGAGTTGGAATAAGAAATAAAAGCAATTTATTCGGTGGATATGCATGAATTTGAAAAAAGCCGAAATTCCAAAAGCGGGACAGTATCCCGAGAAATCACAATTCCGAAAATTGAAAAAAATGCGCCAAAATACGATTTTCCCAAAAGATCTAAACGTGTCATTGTTCCGAAATAGAGGGATAATCTGAGGATAAACTAGGAATAAACTGAAGTATTGAAAGCATTAAATTGTCAGTAATTTGTCACACAGCTTTGTGAGACAAATTCATACCTTCGATACTTCGAGAGATTGTCTCTGCGTTCGATCTTCAAGATTGCGACTTTTCGGGACGTTGTCCTGCTTTTTAAATTTCGAGAATTTGATTTTTTAGTATTATGCATGTGTCCACAATTTGCCTCCAACTTACGCCAAGCTTGCTTCGCGTCTTATTGTAGACAAGCCTTAAGATACTGATGAGACAGGGACCTAACGAGCCTCACGGCGGGAGCTTCGAACGTCGTTATCGTCGCCGAACTTGAAGTTATCGGTAGTGAGTTTGCGATAAAATTGGTTTAATAAATTATTACTAGTCGCCGAGTTTGCTTCGGTCTCTTCGCGTCTGTTGTATGCAAAAATATGCGCACATATATAGAAAACAATTCCAAATAAATCATTTGTAATATTAAGTATGCGAATACGCATATTTAATATCGGATTCGACGAGCGAGCGACGAAGAGAATACTAAGAAAATCTTTGGCGTTTGTAATTATAATCACACAGAGAAATAATTACTGTAGTTAAATTATAAATAAATAAATTATAAATTGTAGTTAAAAAAACTATTTTTCATTGTAAAGAATTAAGAAAATTATTTTTTTAATTAAATTCTATCATAATTAAGACGACCAAAAACGTCCTGTTTCTCCCGAAACAATCTCGATTCTTTATCTTTTATTCCGTATTTCTCGTATACTGCCGGTTTGTCTCGAATTCGGCCAAATTATTCCAGTTTACCCTGATTAAGAGGATTTTTTAAATACTTCTAGCAAAGAAAGACAATTCGCTGCTCAAGAAAATTCACTGCTCTGGTAAGTACAATAGCTTTGCTTCTTCTTTAGTTCTCTTTAGTTCTTTAGTAAGAATAACAATAGTTTCATCTTAGCGATTTTTATGTTATACTATATGCAACATGCTTTCATTGTTGTCAAATTATAGTTTATATGTCTATAAATAAGATATTGCTTTATATATATATATAGGTGTCCCAGCATAAAGAGAACAGCTAAAGATCTTTGCTTTTAATGGTCAAGATATTTAAATGTTCTCTTTGTGTTGGACAGCCTGTATATACAATTTTCAGTGGTCTTCCCCCTCCTGCTCCGCACATTTGTCCCGAATTTGAAATCTGGTCATCTTAACTACAATGTTAGTGATAATAACCTTTCATATGCATGTTATTACTGCCATTTTCGCGTTAGAACAACCAAGAAATTTGTGGACGGAGCCACAAATAATATATATTCTCGTTAGATCGATTATTTTTCTCTCTTAGCGAAGCAAGAGAGCGACGCAAGCTCAGTTACATAAGAAGCGCATCATCCACGAGACACACACAAACTCTCGATACGATCCACCCACATTGATCGCCGATCGCGCATGCGATCGCGTTACTCATGGATCGCAGGTTCATTATGCAATCGCACTGATATCCGACATAAGTAGAAGAAAATAAGAGCGGCGGCCAAATGACCTTCTAGATCGTCGCGAGCGGATTATGCAGTTTGCGGTCGCCGCGGTTTCTTTGAGTAAAGCGGAAACTCCCTCCTTCGAAGTGAATTAGTAAAATTACTTCCGAACCAATCAGTAAAGGGGATGTTTCACTGACAATCAGCGAATATTCGCTGAAAATTTCCACTTTGCCGCTCTGTCGTGTGTCTCACTGATTTTTTAACAAGTGGAAGTCAGATTTCACCACAAAATCTGTAGTACACAAATTTGTTATACAATGCAAATCCAAGTGTGTTATTTGAACTGAATCTCTTGTTTAAGTCACGTCTTGTTTAACACGTTTGAATATATGAAATTATAATTTACACGTTTTAAACGTGATTTAAGACCGCGAGATATGTGCAAAAAGGACTTCAACCAAATTACACGTTTAAGCACTTAAAGGTAACACACTTGGATGGTGTACGCTGTACGAAATTCAACTTTGCGCATTCATGCACTGAGAAAGAATCTTTGATATTTGTAACTATAATCATACACGGAGAAATAATTAATATAAACTATGGTCAAGAAAACTATTTCTTTTATTAAACACTACACTGAGAGAAAAATATAGTTGCTTTCGGCTATACTTTTTTGTGATTTTAACCAGAAAAATAATTAGAAGAATCATCTTTCTAATAACACTTACTAAACAAAGAAAGACAATTCGCTGCTCAAGAAAATTCACTGCTCTGGTACGTACAATAGCTTTGCTTCTTCTTTAGTTCTCTTTAGTTCTTTAGTAAGAATAACAATAGTTTCATCTTAGCGATTTTTATGCTATACTATATGCAACATACTTTCATTGTTATCAAATTATTGTTTATATGTCTATAAATAAGATATTGCTTTATATATATAGGTGCCCCAGCATAAAGAGAACAGCTAAAGATTTTTTAAATACTTCTAGCACTTTTACAGAGAACAGCTAAAGATTTTTTAAATACTTCTAGCAAGATTTTTTAAATACTTCTAGCACTAATACTTCTAGATTTTTTAAATACTTCAGCACTTTCATTGTTATCAAATTATTGTTTATATGTCTATAAATAAGATATTGTTTCATATATACAGGTGTCCCAGCATAAAGAGAACAGCTAAAGATCTTTGCTTTTGATGGTCAAGATATTTAGATGTTCTCTAAAGTAAGTGTTATTAGAAATCTAAACAGTGGCTTTTCTAACTATTTGTGTGGTTAAAATCACAAAAGAGTAGAATAGTTGACGCCGAAAGCAACTATATTTTTCTCTCATTTCCGTGTAGAAACAATCGAAAATGTAGTTGGAGTACAAAATTTTCGTTAGATCAACGATTTTTTCCTCTCAGTACAATGATGGAATCAACGCGATGGCACTCTGTTCGCGTTTGCAAACCGCACCAATAATGATAACAGTCACTACTATAAACTAATCCTTTCAGCGAGATTTCAGCGCTGTGTAACTGAATCATCAGTTGTAAGTATAGCATTTCCGTGAAAAATACACCGATTGTACTTTGGAGAGCCGGCTCCCGAAGTTTTTGCAATATCGACGAGTGTGAAACGGTACGACTTTTTTACCTGATTATAATTGCGACGTGTCACAATCCGTGAGGGCGTGGAAGAGAAAGGATCACGAATACGCAACCTTCCGCGTAAATTTTTACATTTTTTCGGTTCATCTGTCGGAATGGAAGTGGGGGAGGCTATCGCGGGATTAATCGGCCATTACGTTTCGCTCGCGCAAAATATTTGTGCGAGATAAAAAGGACGATTTCTCAGGTGATTCCGACGATGACGACGACACAACGACAATCGCGTAATCCCCGCGCGAATGCACTGGGAAAGAAATGTTTGGCTATACTATTTGTAACATCATACATACATCACGCAAAGAAATAATATAAATTATGGTCAAAACTGTTTTCCTATTAAATTCTACTGTGACGTTAGTAATAGTAATCTTATATGTACGTTACTACTAGCGTTTTAATACAGAATATATGGATAGCCGGAAATAATTACATTTTTAGTTAAACTAATAATTTCTTTCTCTCAGCGTGGTTTTCGTTTTACTTCGAGCGGAATCTCCTACGTGAAAACAAAACTAATTTCTGCAATTTTCCGTTCTTATCGTCGAGGAGCGATATCCCAGGTCTCGCGGCCTTTTTGTGAATTATCGGCATTGCACAAACGTAAACGTGCGCGCAAGGACGCGGTGCGCTATCGTGGTGCCTAATCGCCGCGATAATAATTGCCTTATTATGCGGCTCAAATAAGGAATTACTTCGTTTGCGAGAGCAAAACATCACGCGAGAGCATTAGCGCGCGTTTATCGGAGTTAGACGCGACGGACAAACTTATCGTTGAGTAACGTTGGCAAATTGGAAGTGTGAGCCTGAAGCGCGATCATTTTAATTGAAGATCTAATCGATCAGGCGATTAGATCATTTAGAGTGTAATCAATAGCGAGCTCTGATTAGTACACATCGGTCATTATATAATCGCGTGTGCTCGCATACAACATATAAAGTGCAAAACAGCTCTGTGTCGAATTCAACGCGTTTCAATTTGTCCACTTTTGCGTTAAGGGGACAAAGGGACTGAAAGATCAGACTGCCTGAAAATCGTGCTCGTTATTTCATAATTTTTTATGACAAACCGACATGAATATGCGAAAGTGTTATTTTGACATGTATTTATACGACATATAAAGAGAAGAAAAATAAATTTTTGATGATCAAATATAAGTGTATGGTACAAGCAGTTAAAATATATTTCGTTTTTCTTTTCAAGGTCGTCATTTTGCAGTAATATCTTGACTCTCAATGGTTCAATTAAGCTGAATTTTAGATGGAAAATTTCCGTAAGCTTGTCGTTATTGGATTAACCACTATAACAGAAACTGAGTAAAAATTAACAAAATTGCAAATATCTTAATGGAATATTATTAAAATTTTCAGTTCTTTTATAGTAAAAAAATTAATATTTCAAAATTAAATATTTTCATGAGTTTGTCAGTGGTTCACCCGATAACGACAAGCTAACGGAAATTTTCTACCTAAAATTCAGCTTAATTGAATCATCGAAAGTCAAGATATCACTGCAAAATGACGACCTTGAGAAGAAAAACAAAATATATTTTAACTCTTATTGTGCACACT